GGGGGGGGGGGGGGGCTGTTTTATTCTGGGTTTTTTGGGTTTTTTTGTTTTTTTTGTGGAAGGGGGGGGGGGGGGTTAATTTCCACCATCATACTTCACTCTTATCTGCCTTGCCCTCTCCTTCCTCATTCTTCGCCCATCCCATCCCACCCTCACTACCATCTTTTGTGTAATCATTTTCAATTTTGTTAGATATAGATATATATGTATGTTTAAGTCAAAAAGTCTACGTTTTAGTAAAAATAATGTCAGTGATGACATTATTTTGCACTGATGAAGTTCTATGACCGAAAAGTCTGCAACTTTTGTTATCCCGTTTATATTTTTGTTTTGATCCTTATTATCCCAATTTCTTCTCTAAAACAAGTATTTAAAAAATGTTCATACCGTCACAATGTGTATACATAGTACATGTATTACAGTAAATATTCGACTAAGTGAGCAGGTAATTTGATGCAAGTAAGATTTCTTAACATCTTTATTATATTACAACTGTGCGTGAGTGCTTATAATGCTGTAATTAACATTGATAAAGAAATTTCGAGAGAAAATGGAGTCCGAGCAGCTTGTTTTGAAAGGAGATTACGCAGCGTACGCTGCATTGTTTTGAACTTACAAAGATGGCGGCAGGCCCGTTAAGCTCCGCCCTTTCGGCTTCAACTTGGTTGGAACTGTTGAGCGGGCGACGCAACGTTAGGGCCTCTCCCTATATAGTTACTCCAAGGTTGAGACGAACTAAGCACGTCTCGGTCAATGTAAACTACAGTAAACGCCCCATAAGACAGTGTAGTACAAATGAAGCAGCGAGTAGCTACCAAACTAAGGCTGAAGATGGCACTTACTACTACTAGAATTAGCCGTATCCTTCTGTAGGCAAAGGCCTACAATAACATTAAATGGAGGCTTTGAAAGTCATCATGCATGAAGCAAACTGAGGACGCTGTATAATACTATCTAGAAAATGTGCACTACAAATAGATCGTCAAATCTTGATTTATTCTTAAAAATGTAATCAAACCTTATGGAAGTTGTAGTTAAAACAAAGTGAAATTAAATGATACATTTGATACCTATGAAAAAAAAGAAGTGACAATGGAAAGAATTCAAAATGACCCGAAAGCCCAACTTCATGTAGACAGACACACGAAATGCAAGATAAAAAAGCAAACATCATAATACAGAAGTAGTAGTAGTAGTAGTAGTAGTAGTAGTAGTAGTAGTAGTAGTAGTAGTAGTAGTAGTAGTAGTAGTAGTAGTAGTAGTAGTAGTAGTAGTAGTAGCAGTAGTAGTAGTAGTAATAGTAGTAGCAGTAGCGGCAGCGGCAGCAGCAGCAGCACCAGCAGCAGCACCAGCAGCAGCAGCAGTAGCAGCAGTAGTAGTACTAGTACTAGTAGTAGTAGTAGTAGTCGTAAAAGAAGAAGAAGAAGAAGAAGAAGAAGAAGAAGAAGAAGAAGAAGAAGAAGAAGAAGAAGAAGTTTATTGGACTTACTAATGGATGTGTTTGACGTTTCCGCTTTGTTTAGAGATTGATGTTGCAACTTCGACAAGAATGAGATGTAAATCTGTCGAACAAGCGAATCTCCAACGAAATCGATCGATATATTCTGTAGCAACGAGCATACATCTGCCTTTGACTCGAAGGTGGTCATCTGTGAATAAAGTTACAGGGCAATCATAGCTACAGTGTGGTCAAACATTCGTGGAGCAACTTATCCAGAAATATCTCTCTAGCAGGTGAATAAATGTCACCCATACTTTGCACAGCAGTTTGTTAAAATTTTTCTTAACTTAATCAAGTTTTCCCACAACTGAGGCCAGATTGAAATTTTTTTCTTCATAAATTTATGTCTTCTTCTTCTTCTATCCCGTGGTTGGGGGGCAACCGTTGGGGCACCACTGCATTGGAAAACCAGCTCTCGCCATCTATTTTTGTCCTCTGCTCTCCTCAGATTGTCACCCATCGTCTTTCCTGTCCACTCTTTAAAGTTGTCCTCCCATCTCCTTCTCTGCCTTCCTCTCTTTCTCTTTCCTTGTACGGTTCCTTGCAGGATTGTTTTGGCAAGTCCTGTGCATCTTGTGACATGCCCATACCATTTTAGTTTTCGTCTTTTCACTGTGGTCAGTAGATCTTCATATTGTCCCACTGCGTTGGTGATTCTCTTTCGTACTTCGACATTTGAAACGTGGTCTTTGTACGAGATGTCAAGGAGTCTGCGGTAACATCTCATCTCTGTGATCTGAATCTTTTTCTCTAATTCTGCAATTAGTGTCCACGACTCGAGGGCGTATAAAAATATTGAGATGGCCAGTGAGCGCATTAGTCTAATTTTTGAGCTGTGCGTGATGTTTCTGTCCCTCCAAATAGGCTTCAGTTTTGACAGCGCAGCTGTTGTTTGCGCGATTCTGGGGATACTTTCTGGTCTTGAGCCTTCATCTGAGACGATAGATCCGAGGTATTTGAAGCTGTTGAGGGTCTCAAGTTTCTCGCCCCTGACTTTGATGTCCGCATTGATGCCATTGGTGTTATTGGTCATTAGCTTGGTTTTCTCGGCACTGATCTCCATGCCGTAGGCTGCTGAGGTTGAGTCCAGCCACTCCACTAGTGT